ATGCATCTACAGGAGTCAAGCCTGATCCTGGTTGGTCACGACCACGTGGCCGCCCCCGAAATACCTGAGTGCGACAGCTTGAGGCTGACCATGCTCTGTCAGCCCCTGCCCTGTGGCTCATCTCGACTGATCGGTTGGCATGGGTGGCTCAGCGTCCCATAGCTGGATTTGGAGACTGATGATGATGATGATATATCTGCAGAACTAATGGGACTACATGTGGTTTGGTTTGGTTGTAGCTTGGTGTTTACCTGTGAGAATTTGATCACATATTATAAGCCACCATTATTATACACAGATCTACACATCCTTCCTCAATGGAACTTACAATGTATACTTGAAACTTTACATGTCACATGTCACAAAAACATTGCCAAAACAGCCTTGTGTTTGTCCACAAACATAAGTCTCGTTGTTTATGAAATTTTGGTGCAAATTATTTTTAAATTTTGCTGCGGATTAGTGAAATGGCCCGCTGACTAGACAAGAGTCTTGTTCACTAGTCCGGCTAGCTAGTGAACCCAGGGCGAACCATGGACTACCCAACGCACAAATTTGTTTTAATGTGGCGATCCGACTCGAAACAAGACTGAAATGCCACCTTGAGACAAGTCTATTGTTTACTGTTTACAGTGTCTCCAACGCTGCAACCACATTACTGCGACCATGCCATGCATACACTTAAGTAAAATAGGCACATTCTGTAGATGATTCAACTCTATACAAAATATCAAACATAATTAATATTTGTGTATAATCATGGTCATTATACTTGAATATTTCTGTCATAATAATAACAAAACAATGTTTGTAAATTGTTGTATTAAGCCGAGTGAAGGCCCAGTGCTTTAACCTTACTCGACATGCTTCGGTGTACTCCATGGAGCCGTCCTCTCTCTCACTGGATTTGACTTTGTACGGAAGTAGGGTTCACTTTCTCTGCAAATCTCACTTATTTTGCATAGTTTATTCACAGAAATACCTTATTTTGGGCTAACCATGTTGTGAATGCAGGTTCGTAGAACATGTGGACCGAGTGTAGGCTCAAACCAAAATCAGAATCTGTCAATTTGGAGTTTTCTGTGTAGCATTTTTGGGAAACTTCTGTGTGGAAAGTTTGTGGAGTGACTTTTATATGAGGCATGTATACGGCTGTTTCATGTATGGTCCCGACGACTATTTATGTATTCGGTCTGCGTATTGTTTACACAGGTTGACTCTATACGTGGAGAGAGCAGCTGTGCACAGTGCTCATACTCATAAATAGCTCATAACCTTTACTATACTACACTATACTTTTTGGGGGTATATTTGGGGTATACATATCTGGGCTATTGCTGGACGTGTTGATACTTGTTAAAATCATCGTCAAATATTGAAACCTCGTTATCTCACTGTCATATTTTTGTAAGCTGATGTGAAATGCATGTATTATAGTCCACCATCGCAGATTTATTGTTGAATATTTGTACTGATACTAGTGATACAGTGCTTGCACATAAAACATTTTCACTGTGATCAGGTGATGGCTGAGCATATTCTTGACATACTACACATATTGCCAAACATTCTAGATATTTTTGTCTCTGGTGGCCCATCACTGGTTTCTTTTGGCATTAGCTGTGGTATAGGCTTTTTATTGTAGCCTCTGTGTCTTAGCATAGTAGCACTGTCAATATCCTTTATTTTGTTTGACGTCACAGATAAACCACTTCTGTATTTTACACAAACTTAGGATATTTTAACTGACTGATTTCTAGAGAGTATAAATTTCTCTCACTGATTGTCTTCAATTCACTCAAATAAGATTATAATTTATTAAATCATTAGAAAAATCTTGACCATAAACATTGGCTTCAATTCGTACTCATTTCCGATTGTTTTTCCTCTTTAATTGCCAGAGATATCTATTCTTAATTAATCACTAAGCGGATTTCCCACATTAGGGCAGCACTACCCTACACGTACCCATGACATTAATAAGGCCAGCATTTTTATTTGTTGGATTACAAACCCGCCGATGCATGATTTTTAATATGTAGAAAAACTGATTGAAAGATTATAATCATTTTTCCCACCCGACACAGTATTTTGAGTAAATCGAAAAACAAACAAATTATAGTGTAGTTATGCTATCAGTGTTGTAGTCGAGTACTTTTTCCCCAAGAACCGAGTACTGCCGAGTACAAGTACGAGTACTTGTACCTCCGAGTACAAGAACGGGTCTCCGAGTACGAGTACTTTTACTTCGGAGTACGAGTACGAGTACTTCTGAGTACGAGTACGAGTACTTGCATTTCTGAATACGGCCATACGGCAAATGGTTCATTGTGCGTAATTGGCCCAGGCCCAGTCAGACTGATATATACAGACCCACTCACGGCTAGCTGGTAAATGTGTTTGTCCGGACTTTTCACAGAAGAAAATCAGGAAATCTCGATTTCTCAACAATCCAATCAACCATTTCAAACTGAATGTATTGATAAAATAAGGCCATGGTAAGTGAAGCTATAACTCCCCCCCCCCCCCCCCCCCCCCCCGAGTACTGCTATTTGAGTACGAGTACTTTGTTGCCCGAGTACTTAGACAATCGAGTACAAGTACGAGTACTCCAAAAAAAGTACTCGAGTAGTACTTGAGTACGAGTACCGAGTACGAGTACTACAACACTGTATGCTATTATAGTGACACCCCCTAACATGGCTCACTTTGACATTTCCCTAAACTTTCCCAAGGCGGTATAGCCAAATCTCTCGTTGACTCTCGTTGACAAGCTTTAAATTCATTCAGTTAGATACTGATACAATTACCTCTACAATGCTTAAAGAGGTTGAAAAAAACTTTAGTCCTCCACACATCCTATCACTCGCCATCACATAATTACAACAAACTCTTCTGACAATAGAGGGCGCTATAACTGTCTTCAGCCATGAATTTGGCACTGACATGTATATTACTCTGACGTCATGACGTTATCAGGTGTCAAATTACAAGCAATATTTTTCGTTGAAAAAATGATGATCTTCTTTCACCTATAGCTCCTGAACAAAACGATCAATCATGTTCCAACCTTGTAATCAGATTACCAACCTCTGTAATCAACCTTGTAATTGGTAATCGCTTGACCTCACAGTTACTTCTGGGTCAACCGGCAGGTCAAAGTTAGGTAAATTTAAAATACAGACAGAGGCCTTAAAATCAAAACAAACCGAATTTATGCCAAATGATTTACGGGGTTACGATAAAACCTTGTATGAGCTTGAACCCCCATCTGAAGATGTTTTTAAAAATCTGACGTCATCATCACGTCATTATGACGTTATCAGATATCAAATTACAAGCAATTTAAGGGCCAAATTTGTGAAAATGGTTTAAGCTGTATCTTTAGAACTAAATAGAGTATCGTGTTCGTTTTTGCGTGCAGTTGTAAATGATGCCTCAGGCAAAAATCCTTATTCCCTGGGCACAAAACCGCTTGACCTTCACCTCAGCTGTTACCGGAAGTGCAATAAAAATTGACTATAAATCGAAAGCAGAAGCTCTTTACTATTAGCAAATAAATTATGGAAGTGTTTAGAACGGAATAAAGGTCACAAAAACAACATTATGTCGTCATCATTTGAAAGGGTGCGTTCTAGTGGTACATCAAACATGATTTCCTATTTTAAAATTTACAAACCATCCATCTAAGTTTAACAACATTGACCCTTATTATTTTTTTATCAACTACGTATAACTTTGCAAGGTTTAAAAATGATGATGTCATCAGACCGAAAGTTACTGTAGCGAGAATTTGAAAATGATCATTTTTTTAATCCTATCATTTGATCCCTGTCTTTAATATGACTTTCTTCGTTGCTAAAATAATGATATCCGATATATAACTTGTACGTGTACATAAAATGTATACTGAAATTTGGTACATTTTTGATTTTAAACAAAATCATTGGTTTTACTGGAAAGGTTAAATTTTTCGTGATCCTATTCTGACATTAAATTATTCATACGTAACTTAACTGGGCTGTTTCTAATGACATAGTTGTCAGCCCGACCACTGTGCGTTTGTAACTCAACAAATGCCTTGACCTCGTGTTTTGGTGTTTTTTTCCGTTGTTCCTTGAAGTGAAATTCATCATGACACAGTCCTGTCACAGTCCTGACACAGTCCTGACAAATCTCTTAAGTACAAAACCTTGTGGGATATCATTTTTGAGGATCTTGTGGTGTATTTTTTTCCTAGGGCTCATTCTAGGTCAGTGAAGGAAATGAAGGACATTTTCTTTGTGGGGTACAAATTCTACAAAATTTCTAAATTTCTAATGTGAAAAAAATCTGTTGATTAGGTTTTGAAATACAGGAAGAACAATTGTCCTCGGACATAAGTGCAAAAAAAAAAAAAAAAAAAAAACCTGGGCCCAATTGAAAGCTGAAGATTATGATGCTGCATGCACGGCTCATGCTCGTATATGCTGCATGCATATATCCACAGTCTTCAGTTTTCCTGCTGCTACATACAGACTACATATGAATTGAGAATTTCATGGTACAGACTACCATAAGGGCAGTGCACTGTAGACAACTGTCCCATTTGTATCATGCCAGATACAAATTTATAGCTAGGTAGCAATTTCGAACATCCACGATGTAAATTCTCAGCTTGAGCATCGTTATCTACAGTACGGTACATTTTTAATTTTTAATACGTGATGATGCTAATTTTTAAACTGTGTTGTACCATGAGCAAATCACCTTATTTTCTGTTGACGTCAGACACCAGTAGAAACATTAAATCTGAAAATTGCACCAGAGTAAAATTTCCTTCTTAACAAAAGGGAATGCTTAGAGCCTGTAAAAGAGCCTCGTTTAGAGCCTGGTAAACCTGTTGCTATAGTAAGGCTGTTGCAGATAAATTTTTATCCCAAAGTGAATTGCTTTGGTTTTGCATCCATACATTTTTACAATGCACAAATTCAAAAAGTGAAATTCAAATGCATATTTACCCTGAATCCATCCAGTGTGTAAAGCTTGTTGAAACTGGCATCAATAAACTCCAAGTGTGGCTATCAAATAATGAAGAAAAATGGAATGGTTATAAACATTTTATTTGTAATGTCAACCACCCTGGTTCTGCTGAACTGGAAGCTCATAAAATCCCTCCATCCCTCCCCCTCCCCCTCTCCACAATTGTGTGGAAGGAATCTACTAGTGAGCGCCGACCCATAGAGCTACCAATACTGCATATTTCCCTAGAGGGTGCACTTCATTTGCTTAAAGTTCACACAATAGCCTATCCACAATGCCCCAGGGGGTGTGTCACACTCCCCTAGTCAGTTTTATTGGCAAATTCATGGTCTTATCAGCAAAAGAGAAAATGAAGAATGGAGAAGGAAGGGGGCAGGAAGAGGGAAAGGAAGACAAAATGGAGAATGTTAAAAATAATAACCACTGCTCAAAACCTCATGACGCTAAAATCTGGTTCTGCAACCCATGGCAAAAGATTGTACATTCTGTCATGTCAGTATGAGCTGCCGTGCAAGGTCTCTTCATATACAGCAGTTGCATGAAGTAGTGTAGGGGTACACCAGAAAGGGAAGGCGCAGTTGGGTCGAAGGCTACACACAGTGACACATGGACAGCGGTCAAACTGTTGTTGGGCAAGCAACACTAACTGTTTAATTAGTTCAAATCAAGAAAATAATACTTGGATGGATCATTACAGGTGAGATTGCAGGCGAGATTACAGGTGAGATTACAAGCAGGAGGGCTTTTGATACAATCATGAATATGTACAGTTCAACGGTAATGCCTGTGAACCTGTGGTCCTGCAAAACAAAGGAATATAAACCGCTTATGAGTTTAACTCAAACGTACCTACTGCAACGAGGCGAGGCACACGTGCCACGTATGCACAAATGTAATATGTTCAATAACGATAGTTTTTAACAGATTAGACCGATAACTTTACGCCCAAATCATGCCAATTTAACAGTCTAAGAGTTAAAACACTATATCATGCATGTCTTTATATATCCATAAAGGGCTGAGTTTTTTTTATGGCTTGCAACAACGAAAACGCGAAAACGGGTCTAAAATACACAACTTTTCAATATGATAGGGTAAAATTTTGACGATACATTTTTGGAGTTCTCACTGAAAAATGAAATGCATTGACAGTAATCAACATAATTAATCATTCATACATTTGTGAGGGAAATTAGAAATAGAGTTAAAGGGATCATTTTGGGCAGAAATTATCAACTGCACTCATTTTGTGTGACGGTTCGTCAGCAAATTTCATGATGGCACCCCCCCCCCCCCCAAACTATTAAAAATGGCCTAGTGACGCCCATGAACATATTATATTAGCTTAAACACGACGCAAACAATTGAAAAGGACAGGTGTGTTTGCTACCACCAAACGTCTCAAAAGTCTCCCATTGTAAATAAATGTTTTCCACTTATATAAAGGTACCGGTACTCACATGTCTTATAATTGTAATCACATCAGACTGAGGAGGACAGTCTGACTTTGTAGCAATGTCCCCGATAATGCAGTTTGCACCACCCATTGAAGAAAAACATGGCTCATATCTTCATTCATAGAAATGCATATTAGCCACTGGCTATGGTGTAGAAAGTCCGTACAAAAGTTGTCTTTGCCTATGCAGAGTCTACTTTAAAATGAGCACCATTTATTTCTGCTGATACCATAACAATTGTCAGCCATCCTACTATTTTGGATGAAAACCCCTGGCTGAAAGGGTTTCCACAGGATTAAAAGAGCCGGATAAATCTTTTCGCATCTAAGCAGATGTATACACTGAAAAAAATGTAATAAACAAAACAACCAAAAATAACAAACAAACACCCCAACAACCCAAGTCCGCGGGAACGGGGGGTCTTGTGGGTGCTGCAGCACCCCCAACTTTTTGGATTGGGGTGCTGGAATATGCTTCAGTACCCCCTACTCCCGGGTAAAATGTGTTCCAGTCAGCAGTGTTCTACGACGTTGAAATTGCGCCGCTGCGCTATACAAATTATGCTTGCTCTACAAATATCTCCTTCGTTTTGTTCGTTTCTAGTTTTGCTGCAGCTAAGCGCGGTATTTCGAAAGTCTAGCACAAACGGAGTAAAATATCCAGAAGAGGTGTTTTCTAACTCTGCAGGCAGTACAGAGTCTAATGTATCTAAAATCATGACATGTCTATGATATTTCCGCCATGATGAAGCTTTGACCCGAAAGCAATAACCTCGGCCATGACAATGGTGGCAAAGTTGATTATGCTTGCCAGGGTATTTTTCATTCGATCTTTCAATAGGGGCAAATGTCCATACCTTTTCCCTGAAGGTTTTCTTTTCATTTTAAAGTTTCATTGACGTTGCTAGCATTCTGTACTCAACATTAACAATAAAAGAAGGCCATTTCCAATGATGTGTCTAAAGATGCATTCTTGGCAATTTTCATTACCGTAATTTTCGGAATATAAGCCGCGCGGCGTATAAGCCGCAGCATGCAAAAACCTGCAAATTAAGATTTTAAGTTGGCGTATAAGCCGCACCGGACTATAAGCCGCACCGGCGTATAAGCCGCACCGACCGCAGCGATTTCAATGTTGTAAGACCTCCAAATTCTAGTCAAAATGCTCTGATCCATTTCCATTTACACTACAAAAGCTACAAAAAGGGCCACAAAAGTTATATAAAATCATTTACAGTCGATATGTCTTACAAACAAATATGGAAATTGATGATGAGAAATAAACACCGGGAATTTCTGTCAGCTGGCCCCTCCGGTTCCCGGCCTAAAAATTAGTGCACGGGCCCGGCAGCCTGCACCGGCGAATGACAGCATTTTCCCGCAGCACTTAATTGAAAGGGTATGCAACCCAACCATGTGTCGTCTGACTGGAGCGCTACAAATCTTGCTTTATGGCAACAGATGTTGATTTGTTTCGTCCTAAGAATAAAAAGGTCCGTTTTTACAACAAAACTTATCAAATTGTTGTGATTACTACCAAGTAGTAACGTCAAAATCTCAAGTTTCAATCGTAACTTCCTTCAAAAACAGTCAACATGATGCTGACATTTTTATGGACGAATCCATTACTTTCGGGAGGGGTGATTTAGCCCCTGTTTTGAGTTTAACATCGTTTTCTTGAATACATTTCAAGAAAAAAATTATATTGTGACGTTAAACAACTGATTATCGAATAAAGAAATGTTTTGAACACTATAAAAAGTATAAGTTGTCATTTTTCTCTTTTTAAACAGCTAAAATATTGGTAATTATTGTTCTCAAGAGAGTACACCCCTTTATTACCACAAATGGTGTGGTCCATGGGGAATGCATGCAGCATGGCATGCAGCAGTATCAAGTACAGCTGGTTGTGGAAGACAGCTTTCACTCACGCATGGTTGGCCGGCCTGCTGTACTTTTTACCGCTCGGTATATTTTCATGGGGCGTGCTTTCGGTTTGTTAATGACTTTCTTAATTGATAATTCATTTCAGCAAAAGATCTTTTCTTATACCAGTACATTAAATACACATTTGAATCTCATTTTTATTCTTCAAGGCCTGGTGTATAAGCCACCCTGCGTATAAGCCGCAGTAAACATTTTCATGAGCAAATTCAACGTATAAGCTTATATTCGAAAATTACGGTAGTAGTTCATTTTTAATTCAGCAAAGCACGCGCAAGTGTTGACACGACACACACGCGCGCGGTTGCTATGGCTCGTTTGTTCAGTGTGCGACATCGCGTAGCTGCAATCGTGAGAACGTGTCTTGGACGCTGAATTCAGGCCCAATTCAATACATGACTCAGCAAATTTTGATTTGAAATCAAGATCCTAGAATGCTGTTTTTCTCGGAATGTGCAGCATACACTGAGCTGAAAACTTCATCAAGTTAGTTGTTCACCACCCTTCTTTAGATTTTGATCACTTTTGTTGCTTCAAACCAACATAATGCACACATTACAAAAGATGGACGCTATACCTTTAAGCGTAATTCTCTTTCGCTGAGTGAATTTTTTGTGAAAATGAAGTAAATGTTTATAAGATGCTGAGAGCGCGAATAAAATGGCAGTCAAAATGTAAAGGACGCATCCTCTGTGCTGTAGATCCATGCAAAGGGAATGGGTTTAATACTCCCTACTACTCTGCTGTAAATAGAAAGTTCGGGGGCAGCCACCCCTTTCAAGTGTGACCCTTTTACCAATTTACCTGTACAACAAGCTGAAGTATGGAGCCTTCAAATCTTGGTGCCTCCAGATCTACATTCTTGAGTTCGAACAGACTGAGTTCCATATGATTTTACATAAAAAAGATGTACCTTAGCAGACAGGTCTTTTGAGATGTTTTCCTCACAGCTGGACATATGTTACAAAGGATAATTAGATACTCTAATCTGTTTTGGTAGTTGACATTAGGCGGCAGTTGTTGTGCAGCATTTGAACTACGGAAATCGGCTAAAGGGTGGAGCATGGGCAACACCATATTGAATAATTATGCTCCAGAGTATTGTGACTGAGAATCTGCGTAGGACTCACTCTCTCTTCTTCCACATATGACATCATCTATCCTTGGCTCCTGCCCAGCCCTTGATGCTGACGTCCAGTTTCATCACAGGCAGTGGCTGCTGGACTCTTACACTTGACTGGGGAAGTTGATGGTTAGGTGCAACAGTGAGCGAGTAAGTGAGCAATGTCCGTTAAAAGGGACCACTCTCCTGGGTATTTCAGCAAAAGATCAGCTGGAAAACATTCATTTTTTTAATCTTTTTTTGTTACCTCATATAATATAACAGGCTCAGTGTCAATAGGAATTACCTATTCCTTTTGAAAAGGAGCCTGTTACATTATGTGAGGTCTCTTAAAGCTACAGTCCATCATTTGTAATTTGTGCATTTTGTTCGTTTGAAGCAGCAAAAGAGTTCAAAATCTAATGAAGGATACTGAGCAACTAACCTGATGAAGTTTCAGCTAAGCTTCAGCTGTACATTCCGAGATAAACAGCATTCTAAGATCTCAATTTCAAATCAAAAGTTACTGAATCATGTTTTGAATTGTTTTGAATTGCAGCTTTACGCGGCGTCGCGCACTGATCCGACGAATTATAACAACCGCGCGCGCGTGTGCGTCGTTCCAATACTTGTGCGCGCTGCGCTGAATAACAAAACGAACTACTAATTTAATTTTCCTACGGTGCTTCTTAAGAATCACCGTTGGAAATGCCTTCTTTCGTTGATTACTTCAAAATGACAGCTTCCCAGAAAGAATAATTTCACAGGGAGTTTAGTTCCCTTACTATCTTTCAACCAAGTTTGTTTTTCAACAGTAATTACGCCAGTTACTTTTCAGATGGCTGCAAATGATGGACTATAGCTTTATTAAATGCATTGTAAACTTAAAATCCTACCAGATACGCCAGATCCTCCAGCTTTGACAACTCATTGAAACTGATGATCAACTTCTGCAGGGATGTAAGTGACGATATGCATCTCAGTTTAGTTAATCCATTGCCATGGAGATTAAGCACCGAGACTAAGGTGAGTGAAGTTACACCACTAATTTGCAGAATAACATCTTCAGATAGCGAAACAAGCCTAATAAGGAAAAAGTATAACAAAAACTGCAATTAGGATGGAGATAAACATAATCAAAATTGTTGTTAAATTTAAGAAAAGAACAGCGTGTTTAACATTTTGTTAAGTGAATTTTGAAAGGATTAGGTTGAGATTTTTAATGTGTGCTTGTAAGTTTACACCTACGGGTACATGATTTTAGAGTTGCGATTTTTAAGAAACATAGATACTGAAATGTGCAAATTTTCCATTACAACTTAAACATATCTAGCAAATTTTTGTGAGGGATTTCAATTATTGACCTTAATTAACATTATCATCATACATTTGTCAAAAAAAAATTAGTTTTTTATGTTATTTCATCGGCCTAGAACGGCCAAGTGTCTGGTCTATAAAAACACATGTCATTTTAACATGGAGACCAGTGATGTTGCATGCGTTCATTGTGCGCACTGTGTGAATGGAACCTGTCAGCATGCTAGCTTCACGCAATCAGAACTGCAACGTCAACTGCTCAGACTCATGTCTAGCACAGCAGGATATCAAAGGTTACATCTCAGTGATTTAATTCCTTTCTCACACAGTTATAAGATGGAATTTTTTTGCGTCAGGGTGATGAAAATCAAATTTGGTTTTGCCCCTCACCTACGTATGAACACTGTATACTCGGTGTGTTACCTTCCGAGTGAAAGTTGGAAAAAATCACTCGGTTGGGACTCGAACCCACCACCTCCTGCTTTCTAGTGCAGATGTCTTACCACTCGACCACCGAGCTAACGGGATCGGTTGGCTGGTTCGAATCTGATGTACATAGCAGCGGGTACTGCATTACTTATTAAACTCCACTTAAACTCCACCTGTGACATCACCCTAGCGCTTCATTATTTGGTACGAATGGAGTGTTTGAGGGGATACCTCTCCATTCTTTTGGAAGGTTATTAAGCCTTCATCACCTTATTCCTACAAAATAATGGAGCGGGAAATAAAGTAACACCAAAAGTTACACAAGTACTTTTGCAAAGTTGCAACTTTACTACACCGTTTCTAAAATGAACTCATATGCATTTTTTTTTATATTATGCATTTTCGTACAATGCTTACATAAGTCAAAACCATTTTTTTCTTATACAGAATGCTACATCATTTCTTAAATGGATTTATACATCATTCGCATGATTTTGTTTCTAATGCTACACTATTTCTCAAATAGAATTGTATGCATTTGTTTATACAATTTCGTACAGTGTTTGGGTGAAAGTTAAGAACCGTTTTTTTTCTGATACCGAATGTTTGCGCATGGTTATACATGTAAACAATATAAATGTTTCAACAATATAAATGTTTCACAGTTAAAGCAAAGTTTTTTACAAGGTTTGCGGTACAAATAATATCGGGGTTTCAATGCCTATCACGGCAGTCCTAGAAATGTTTGATTGTCAAGAACTCAACATCCTGAAGAAATGGGTACGTCCTTTCCATGTTGTCCAAGAAAAGTTGTAGGGCAATCACAAGTTCGCAAAATGTAAATCTGGCCTAGACAATTTTTGTTGCCGTTTTGTTTTAAAAATGCACCAAAATCTTGCAATTTTTAGTGGTTTTAGTTGGTCCTTGCTTGTCCAATGATGGGTAGTTTGACTGGAGACTGCCCGATACAGAGTGAGTCAAAAAAAGCGGAACTCAAACCCCCAAAAATATATTTTATATTTAAACAAATATGTAGCACCAACAATAATAATGACTGGAAAGCCAATTTCATAAGCTAATTTTAGATGAAAAAAAATTACTGAAACTGCTCAATCCGTTCAAAGGATATCACCATTTAAATGCAATAACCCTAAAACCTGTCTCGTCCAAAAAAAAAAGCAATTTATTGTGCATTTTGACTGTTTGGAACAACAAAGAAAATGACACAGAATACTTGTTTCAACAACTGTCACCAACTGTAGTACACAATATCTTTATTAACAACCCTGGTTAGGCAAACAATATGATTTATAAAATCTACTTTTTTTAAAAGACGGGCCTTCAAAAGGACTTTTTAAAATATCGTTTACATTTAAACTGAGATTTTATCACTTTTGATGTTTGAAGACAACTGTGACGACGATTGGTGAAATCGCATTTTTTTGACGAGACAGGTTTTAGGGTCATTGTGTTTAAATGGTGATATTCTTTGAACGGGTTGACCAATTTCAGTAATTTTTGTCATCTAAAAGTAGCTTATGAAATTGGCTTTCCAGTCATTATTGGTTTTGGTGCTACACATTTCTTTAAATATGAAATATATTTTTGGGGGTTTGGGTTCCGATTTTTTGACTCACCCTGTAGTTTTGATCCTCCTTGTGATTTTATCCGCAAGTCTGTAGCCAGAATATGAAGAAAACAAAATCGGAAAATTAGTTTTTGGGGTCAAACAATAAGACGGAAGCATAAGTTCATATTCATGTGTACTTCAATCTTATCAAACTGTAAAAGGGAAAATGCCAGCTTTGACAATTGCAAAGACGACACAGACATTTTCAAATCGAAATAGTTTTCGTGCAAAACAATGTCTGAATAAACTATTCGCTCTTTGCACGCTCCGCCATAAGCATGCAGAGCCTCGATCTGGCAACTTTACACAGTGATTCAGTGATTCCCGTGTATACATGGTAATCACTGAACCCCGACATGGGAATCACTGAACCGGCTATATCTACTGTGTAAAGTTGCCAGATCGAGGCTCTGCATGCTTATGGCGGAAGCGTGCAAAGGGCAAATATCAGACAGCAAGTTAAAGAACAAAGCTTAATGTATCTTACATTATATTCTTACTTTTGAGGTTTTAGTGCTCAATATTTCGGTTAGTAAAAAATATAACAAATTTAAATTGTAATTTACTAGCTGTTATTTCTACTGGACAAAATGGTATTTCTTACCTTTATACTCATACATGCAATCTTCATATTCCTTTAGTGCATCAGCATGGTCTTTGATATCTTCCTGGCAAAGTTTTAGGCGATCACCCGATATATCCATGGGGCTAGTATCAGCACGGTATGAGAGACAGTTCCCCGGCACACTATAATTCCACTGTTTCACGCATACGGAATTATCATAACAGTCCTCAATGCCTTGAGACTAAACACGTCGTGTCATCTGCATGCTATCCAAATGAATGAATGTATGGTGCCTGGGTGGCGTTTAGCATTTATACCAAGCACGACCAGATTTCAGCATTGTATTGGTTATGTAAGACTATATGTAAGCATACTTAGTGTTGTAGTACTCGTACTCGGTACTCGTACTCGGACTCGTACTCAGTACTCTCGAGTACTTTTTGTGGAATTCTCGTACTCGTACTCATACTTGAATGTCAAAGTACTCGTACTCGATATGACGGTACTCGTACCCAAGCAGCAAAGTACTCGTATTCGCACATGTTAAAATGGTACTCGATCATCAAAGTATTCGTACTCGAATAACGGTAATTGATAAAACAAGATACTCATACTCGAATAGGGGTACTCAATAAAAAAAATGGTATATCATATTACATATTGATCTACAAGGTCCAAATGACAAGAAAATGCAAAAACATTTTGTGCGGACCCTAATTTACGCTTCTGTGATCAACCCCCAGACTAATTGGTCTTTCTGAAGGTCTTTCGTGTTGGATGACTCCATGTTGTGGAATGTGTCGGAAATACGGTCTTATAGGTACTGATACAATTGCTATGGCGCTAAATAACTTACCTGTGCACCAAGCGCAGTATAGTGGATAAGAGGAGCATACACTGTATTTTGTAGTTTTACAGAACTTGCAGTGGGTGACGCAATGGTCTTTTGCACATACATTCACAATGGGAATGCATTTATAGGTATCGGAGGTGATGCTTTATTCATAATACAGTTTTTTTAGCGGAACAGGACAGGTAAGGGACAGAGGGGTGTAAGAGTAGGGAAAAGATGGGGAAATAGGGGGTCCTTACGTACATTTTTAAAAAAAATTGTTTATTTGAGTGTTTGGTCTACAAAACTTACCTCGGTCTGGGTTTAACTACGGGGTCCAACCTCAATACATCTAGGTCAAAACTTTGCTCGATCGGTTTTCGCTCCACTGCCTGGTTATCACTCACATCAATAAATGGAGAAGGTGGTACCTCCTAATGACAAATATAAATAGGTTACCAGTGTGCACCTAGCAGCATTAGGTGGTTTATTTTCAGGTGTAATATATTTGCCATTTAAAGATCAAACAAGTGATCAGTACAATGCAGAACATGCTATCACTGATGATTGCTTTGAATTTCTTTTCCTTCTTTAATTTATTACTCAGAATATGAAGTCTTCACTCAATTTTCCTCTCAGTCAAATGTTGGCTTAAGTCATGATGGTCTAGTCAAAATTAAGGCTGGCTTAAGCATAAAGTGTTCTGTTGCTTAAAGGGAATGTACATCATTGGCTTTTGCTGTAAGTTTCAGAAATGAACTATTTGAGGGGTTAGGATAATAGATCAAATATTGTTACACTGACATGTTTGAGGTTTTTGTTTTTGAAAATGCTGGAAAAACCAAGAATAACAAAAATGTTCAAGTAGTCTGGCTCCCTGACTCCACTAAAGATAAAATGGATAAATTGATAGATGCCAGAAAATTGTAAGATATGGGAACCAGCCTAGCTGGCCTGCAACTGTTCATGAACATGTAACCAACAGCACACAACATTTGGACTGAAATAAATTTAAATTCGGAGCAGCAGTTGAAAAATAGTTAGGTTTTTCCAATGGTGGTCGGCCGACCATCGTTGGAAATTTGTACAAAAATACCACTTTTCTTCAAAATGACTTCACACCAGGTGCCATAATTTTACAGGATGCTTCAGACTGTCATTTACCAACTTCCTAGTAAGGTATTTCGTAAAAATTTGGTAGTTCTGTTTTTCGATGTTTGCAAATGTTGTATTTTCCCTTTAAAAAGGCCTAAAATACCTATGCAAACAAAAGCAAATTATTGTAAGAAATGTTGTTTCCATGTCTGGCTAGATACCTATTTAGTTCAAAGTACAATTGTTTAACAGGGTTTTGAAAAGAAGAATGCACCAGTGTATGTTAAATTGGGCCCCCAAATAGGGAGGGTTGCATGGCGCCCCAGATTCTGGCACGACAAAAAGACCATGGTCTTTTCATCAGTTAATGAATTTCTACGTCAAATTATTTTTTTGCCAGCGATGGGGGGGGGGGGGGAATTGACCCAATATACATGACCTATAAAGTAATAGCCTTCAAAGTAGCACATGCTTTATTAAGAGCATACATATATTTGTCTTTTCTGGGAAATATTGAGTGACGGTCCCAGTATTGTGGCAAAACCCTGCTTATGATTTTGACAAAAACAAAATGTTAAAATGGTTTGCCGGATGTCATTTTGTTCTGAAGGTATTATGATAAGAGCCTTTTATTCTCAGACTTATAAAATACACACAGCACACAATCATTTTTGTTTGAATGTAATTTGCCACAGTAGGGCTGAGTCAATTCGAATAAATGACTATTCGAATATTCGACCTTCCATTTGATCGAATATTCGTCCATTCCAAATTCCACAAAGGCAGAAATATGCCAAACATGTACATGTAGTTAACGTACATGTAGGCATGCACGTCAACATGCCATCATTGCCATGCATGATTTCTTTGCAGGTAAGTTGGGTATATAAAAACAAACAGTAGATCTTAAGTCATCAGTATTTTGATAATTAATAATCACCAGAGGAGCCAGAGTTAACAATTCCTTGTTGCACAGGGGACTTTTAAGCCGTGAACCCCAAACACGGCAGGTGGTGTCAGCTGATGTGACTCTCCGATCCTTAACTCGCAAAAAAAGAATAAATTTCATTGGAAGATTCTTGTACTTTCTAGTCGCAGTATTGAGGATAAAAAAATCACTTTTATAGTAATAACCCTCAATTTTGTCACCAATACCTATGATATTTAATGTCTTTAATCAATTAAATATGGGTCTTTGAAGTATTAATGCATATCTAAATTTATGCAAATAATGGGCGTGGGAACAGTTTGGAGACCGGCATACACACGCCCCAGCTTGACACTTTTGCACACAGGGGACGGTATAATAAACCGTGAACCCCAAACACGAGAAGTATTAAAATTGTTGTATTCTGCCGAATGTAGGCCCAGTGCTTAAATCTTGCGGATGTGTTGTTATAAACAGTTGTGAGGTCCTCTCACGTAGTGGCTTGGTCTGGCTGATGTACCATTTAAGAGCCCGCACCGGGCACCAGACTTTGTCGGTAGGGATAGCCGATATTGTACATATTTCTGGTACAAAAATATCCAGAGGTGTAAAACCGATGGATTGGTTTTTAGTCAGGAAGGCTGTTTAGGGAATAAGTCGGATGCCTCCTGGTTCGCAACAGATGTGTCCGAAAGGGATTGAAATTCACTCCTTCTGCGGGAGGCAGCTACAGCCAGGAGAAACACTAGTTAAAGGGTCATGTGGTACAATGAAGCCTGGCCCAGGGGCTCAAAGAGGGGGCTTCATTAATTACTGTAAGACTTGTTTGAGGTCCCAAGAAGGTATAAGATTTCTTATTGGGGGACGCTCAACAAACATTCCTTTGAGGAGATTGGTCACCACTTTGTTGTTCGAGATTACAGAACCATCTTTAAATCCATTGTGGATAGCAGAAAGGGGACAATGGTAGTTCTTGACTGTTGCTACGGTCAGACCCCGATTATAAAGGTACAGCAAATATCAGCCGATTGCTGTCCACACCATTTGAAATAATGCCGAAGTCTCGAGTCGTAAATTTTTCTTGTAGAGGCTCGGCGGCTGTGTGCTGCTAGAGTGGTAGTGGCTTGAGAAAGGCCTGCTGCTTTGAATGATTGCTGCAAAGAGGCCAACAAGTTAGATGGAGGTCCCCTGGGGCTGGATGAAGATAAAGGGACTGTGGTTGGAATATTAAGTCTGCTCTCTCATGTAGTATACACGGAGTGCGAACTAGCAGTCAGCCTCGGAAACCAGGGTTGGCGAGGCCAGAATGGAGCTATTAACAACACTCTGCATGTCTCCTGTTTTAACTTGTTTAGGACCTTTGGAAGCAGAGATATTGGTGGGAAAGTGTATGCGAACATCCTGCTCCATTTTATTGCTAGTGCGTCCACTGCCCATGCTTTGGGGTCTGGACGTCGTATGAAAAAATACTGGGAGCTGAGCATTGATGGCTGTTGCAAAGAGGTTGGTGTGGGGTCTGTCGATATTGGTGAAGAGCAGACGGACAATCTCTCTGTTGAGTGTCCATTCTGTTAGAATTATCAAACCCCTGGACAGGGCATCCGGGATCTTCTTCTGATTTCCCGGAATGTGGGAAGCGTATAGTTGTATTTCTTCCAGGATGCACCAATGGAAGATGTCCCAAGTCAGGTAACACAGTTGGAGTGATCGGGTGCAACCCTGACGATTGATATACGACACTACGGTCGTGTTGTCTGTTTGAATTAGTACTGTGCATCCCTGTATTGTCAGCAGGAAATGAAGTAGGCCATAGAATACAGCTTGCAGATCCAGAATGTTTATGTGTCGGTTCTGAAAATTTGGTCCCCAAGTTCTGGCATGGGGAGAGAGTTGCTCCCCATCCTATATTTGATGAATCAGCTGCAATGGTTATGGGGGCCTGAGGACGGGGAAAGGTGGGGCCTGTCTATAAGTTCTGAGCAACTGACCACCAACGGAGGGGAGGAAGGAGACCTACGGTGATCGGAACTTGAAGATGGATTGGGTCCCATTTTGGTCTGTCATGGGCCAGAAGGTGGAGCTGGAGAGGGCGCATGCGGAGCCTGCAATAAGGTACAAGATCTACCATACTTGCCATCAGTCCCAACACCAAGAGCCATGCTCTTGCTGTGGCAACATTCTTTGAGAGAAACATGAGAACACAACATCGAAGATTTAGGATTCAGTTGGAGTCGCTGTGCCCTGGCACAAGTCTAAGTTTGCACCCAAAAAAACTGGATGCTTTGTTGGAGTTGGGTGTGACTTTGTTTTGTTGATAACAAAGCCGAGTTAGGATGTCTATTACTGAGACTAGCCAGTCGTCCAGATACATGAAGTTTAGGATGTTTCGTTTTCGTAAGCTTGCTGCTACTACTCGTGATATCCTTGTAAACACTCGTGAGGCTGTGGATAGACCAAATGGGAGAGCGTTGAACTCGTACGTGTCCCTTTTGTACCTGAATTGTAGGTATTTGGAATTATGCCTGTAGGTTGGGACGTGTAGGTAGGCATCCTTGAGGTCTAGTGATGCTGCCCAGAATGGAACTGGAATTGAATCTAGAGCAACTCTTACAGTTTCCATCTGGAACCGACGTGGACAGATGAATTTGTTGAGAGGTTTGAGATTTATGAATTGGTGGGACTACCAATGCTCATACTACCAATGCTCGTACTCTGCCTTGGGGAACTGGTAGTATTTCATTTCCTTTGGACGAAAGGGCCTCCACATTTTTGCAACCGTGAGTTTCTTCATGCGGTCAATGCACACAATGTCCAATGGCAAATGAGGAAAGAGTGGGTCCTGAGCTGAAGCTTGGGAGCCGGAACTACGCTTGAAAGATTTACTTTCAGATTGACTTGTTTCATCCACTGTTGGTATTTTCAATACTCTGGCCATGTCTCTCTGTAACAGACGGAGTTGGGTCTCGAAATGAGACAGGTCCCCAGGGTCGGGGAAATCATTGGATTCTGAACAAGGTCTGTCCGAGGATGATTCACAGTTTGGGTCTGTTTCACTTCACTCCGAGTTTTCAGCACTGTCCTTGGTCTCGTCAGAAAACTGTGAAGACGGGTGGATTGAAATAGATGCCTGAGGAATTTCACGTTGAAGGCATATCTGAATTATCTTGAACCTTCGACATGGAAGTGTGTCCTCCTGATTCCGGTGTTTGGATATAGAGTCACTGAAAGTCTGAAAGGCTTTCATGAAAAAATCGGCAGATACCTCTTTTTTCTTTCGTAAGCAACAGGAATGTCTGTCTTAAGAGTCGCCCGATGAGGATGATGAAGATGGGTATCGGTGCATATATTTCTTTTTAGCGTGTTTCTTATCTTTCTTTGGGGTACAACTTGGGGAACGCCAGAACACTGATCAAAACCTGAGCTATATGCCATGCCGTGCGAGGACGGTAGGGTTAGAGGCAAATTGTCCGTCGGCAGAACAGTGGCCGTGGAATTACTGCCAGGACCGCGGGATTTCCCCTTTGTGTCCTTGGAAGACTGGTTTGATCCATTTGGTGGTACTATGGTCAATAAGCTAGCAGGTTCCGATGGTGTGCATGTACTATCCGTGATCTCTTTCTTTGGTTTCGGACAGACGCGAGTTGTTTTAGTTGTTTCCCCATAGCGGTGTCAGTGGGCATGCTCTTCGCTGTGGGTTCCATTTTATCGGGGGACTGTTCCCCATGTTTGCTACGCGATGCGATAGCAAGGAATACACTGTGCTCGGCTGGAGGCACCGCAAGAAAGCACTAAGAACACAGTGCGCTTTCGTTATGAATGGTGTTTTGTGACACAACCACTGCACACAGGAAAGCAATTAAAATAGAGTTGATTGCTCACAGATCAGACGTTGCCTTTTGACGTAGTCAGACGGCTGTTCTATGAGTCGAAAACCACTGTGGCAAAAACAGACGTATGTATTTCTATTAGAATAGGCTTACATACGTACATATGCCACTAGTGGTGTATGGTCGCTGAAGAGGGGATGTCCCTGTTTCTATCCGCTATTGACCAAAGACCACCGATTCAAAAAGCAGTAAATGCCCCGAGGAGAAAACTGTTTCTTACCGCCGTGGGCGGTAGTGGTAATGTGGGTCGAGCCCTTTGATAAGTACAGTTCTAATGGCGTACTGAAGTCGTATGGTCTCCGGGAGGATTTACTTTGTTCCTGTCCACTATTGACCAAGCCCAGCGTGGCAGGAACGACAGTGCCCCGAGAAGAAGTCTGTCTCTTCTTGCGTCGGGCAGAACTATGCATGGTGGTCGTTTTTCTGGGGCTTTTTATATTTTGATTCCAGACAACAAATGTGTCACACTGATCTCCCAAGGCCCTTGTGGAGATCACTGTCTTCCTGTCAAAGAGGATATTTTTTGTTGTTGTGCCATCAGTTGAGTAGAGGGCTGGAAGAGAAACTATTCAAAGTATACCTACTGTGTATACCAGGGGCCATATTCATGAAACCTTAATAACTTAGCAGCCAACCAGGCCTTAGTAGGATACTAAAATGCCTAGTAGTCTACTATGGTATTAGTAGAATGCCTGTCAAGAATGAGAATTAAGTCCAAGAAGGCAACCGGAGGGGGAAAGCCACCTAAAGAGCCAAGTCTGACACAACAAAAAATGATATAGTTGCTAACTAGTGACTTACAGTTGCCCTGGATCAACATTAACTTTAGTAAGAAACTTTGAATTTAACTAACGCTAGTAATGTTTCATGAATATCAATTAGTTACCAACTAGGCTTAATAAACAACTACATGTACATGCCTTTTTAGTAACCAACTAGGCTTAGTAAGGTTTCATGAATATGCCCCCAGATCTGTAATGAAGTCACTTTTTAATGATTAACTTATGGTAACTTTGTTACAGATCTTCACTTAAAAAAGTGTTTTAATTCGACTTTTAATTCGAAGTATGTGACCCTCCAGCACAAAACCAAACGTAAGTTGCACAACCATATTTGAACTTAAACCATATATAGTCAGACTCTCTACCATCGCAGCAATCCTATTATCGCGGCATAGGAATTTTCTCTGTTTTGCCACAAGCCCTTCAAGTGGCGATTTTTAACTACTACACCAGGCATTTTTTAAAAATTGTTGTAGTCTCAAACTTACCTTTGTTTTGTACTCAAAGTCAATGACATACTCTGGAAGTACAAGTTCATGATCAAAGATGAACCATTCACACTGTCTGGCAGAACATTCACACTGATGCTCGTTCTCTTCAAGACTGAAATTCTTAGGCTTGAAAACTGAGTCAGCACTTGGATAGAGCTGCTTGCTTATCCTAAGTGAAGGGGAAAACACAAATAGAAAGCATGTAACAACAGAGCAACGAAGATAACTTTCACAAGAACAATGACGACAGCAGCAGCACCACGATATTGGAAGGTTTGGGCCTCACAGTTATTGGGGTTGGTGGTTGAGCTCGAAGTATGTGACCCTCCAGCACAAAACCAAACGTAAGTTGCACAACCATATTTGAACTTAAACCATATATAGTCAGACTCTCTACCATCGCAGCAATCCTATTATCGCGGCATAGGAATTTTCTCTTTTTTGCCACAAGCCCTTCAAGTGGCGATTTTTAACTACTACACCAGGCATTTTTTTTTAAATGTTGTGTCCATAAATTAGGCTAACAAGTAGGTGAAGGGTTGCCTAACATGGAACACTGGAACATGTTCAAGGAAATTCCCAAAATTATTGTTGAGAAAACGTTTTGGCGTAGACAAAATTATTGTAAACAACAATAATCTCTTATTTAGGGGAATTTCGTTGAACTTGTTCAAGTCCCCACGTTACCCTTCCCGTAGTAGCCCAATTTACGGACACCACATTTTCTCCCCTTTTTTGGTCTTTTGGGCTAAACATCAAAATGTTATCAATTTTCACTTGATTTCCCACTTATTTTTGTTAGGGTAACTATGCCAGTAAGTAACTATGTGAATTTGAAGCTCATCAATACCCACGTTTGGCGAGACTAGTTGATGATATCTGAGGAAAAGGTAAATGCGCGTAACTTTAGGGTAAAATAGTAGCAATTTTGGTTCTTTACTATGTCCTCCTAATTATTCAGTCACTTATATGTTTTACAAAATGTTATTGAAGTAAGAATATGCAAGTAGAATCACCAAAATACACTTTTCAAAAAAATAAAAAAATTAAAATATACCCAAATATGGGAATAAATATATTACACGGCAGGGAGAAACGATTTATGCAAATTAGGCACCCTTCCCAAAAGAATTTCAGGTGTCACCCCTTCTAAATATCTTCTCTAGGGCTATAAGAATAGCTATAAGAATCTATCTGCCAAGTTTGGTGCTTTGGACCAGTCGGTCACGATTCCGACCATATGCCACCTGACTATCAGGGGATGTTTTGGTCAAACATTAACTATGAATACAAAAGTTGAGATCATCATATAAAAAACACTTCCCACCTACTGCGATAATAGGGAGTCCACATCCATTTGCATACTCTGCGCATGTCTATTTTCACAGGCATCATACACGGAATAAATCACACCACCGTCGACAGGACAATTCGGGAATGTTAGTGGGCAATGTCTATTTCAAACACTGTGTAAGTACCGGTAGTGTAATATGTCTTTACAAAGTATGACGTCTTCACTGACTGACAGGCCATATAATCATCAAAGTTTCTAATAATAAATATACATGTATATTGTTTCAATATGTCCAGAGGAAATTAAGAGACTGAAATATTTACATGGGCCTAGGTTAAATGTACAATCATGAATTTATCTCTGGATGTGCTACATATTATGCAGCAATTAGGCATCCTTGATCGCTCATATAGGTGTCCTTGATTTTTATACAACGGTGGTCAAGAGTCTTTTCCTTCCCATTTCTAAAATGTTGACATTATGTTAAGGAACACTTGTCTTAAGATATGTGTGGTAGAAATCTGCAGCTATACCGGATTCGCATTCTCATGCGACATAAAAATATTTAAAAGTTATGACAAGGCTACCTTTGCAGAGGCATCCGATCAGGAGGAAAACACCTCATAAATATTATATGCGAGTAAGACTTCCGTCTGGCTTTCTGGACACCTCAACGTCAAGAAATGAGATGTTGCCATTTCTTTCCTGTTCCATGGTGAACTGGATGCTGCTGTGAAGCTCGTTGAGGTGTTCCAAGAAGAGCTGGAGGTTGTCTTGCCCGTGTTGCCAGATGACAAAGGTGTCGTCCACCTACCGGAGCCAAACCTTGGGTTGGTGATCTGCTGTTGCGATGGCGGTCTGTTTAGATTCATCCATGAACAAGTCAGCCAGAACCGGGGACATAGGAGATCCCATGGAGGTTCCAGCCGACTGTTCAAAGAATTTGTCCCGCAATCTGAAGCTATATGAGTTGACACATGTGAGAAGCAGATCTTGAAGCTGGTCAGGGGTGAGGTCGGTGCGGTCTTGGAGAGTGGTGTCTGCTTGAAGTCTGTCCTTGGCGATGGTGCAGGCGTCTGAGGTGGGAATGCTGGTGAAGAGGGAGACGACATCAAAGCTGACCATAATGTCGTCCGGCTGGAGGGTGAGGTCTTGGATGAATGCTGCAAACTGGTCGGAGTTCTTGATGTGGTGTTCGGTGTTTCCTACCAAGGGGTGGAGGATCTTTGCAAGATGCCTGGCTGTGTTGTATGTAGGACCCCCTCTGGAAACTACAATTGGACGCAGGGGGATATCCTTCTTGTGGATCTTTGGCTGTCCAAAGAACCTGGGGCACTTGAAGCTAGATGGTCGTAGCTGTCTGTACAGAGGCTGTGGGATGTTGCCAGAATGCTGAAGAGAAAGGAGCTTGCTTTGCAGTCTCCTCTCGATGGATGGCGTGGGGTCCTTCCGCAGTTCACGGTAGCAAGGTGAGTAGAGTATGACCTCAACCTTGCAGTCATACTCAGCCTTGTCCATGTGGATAGTGGCGTTCCCCTTATCAGCTCGAAGGATGCGGACGGACTTGTCTTGGCGAAGTGTTGCGATGGCTGACCGGTCTTGACTGGAGATGTTGGGCTTTGCTGACTTGTGTTTGCAGAGGGCTTCGTTGATCTGCAGGCAGATCTCATCGGCCGCAGATTTGTCGAGGTGGCGGAGGGTTGGTTCTGTGCCTACCGCAAGCCCACCCACACAGACAGATACCTGCACAGCAACTCTTTCCACCACCCAAGAATGAAGTCCTCCGTCAACCAAGCCCTCGTCCGCAGAGCGTACAACATCTGCGACGATGAACACCTACCTCAAGAACTCCATCACATCACCACAGCACTGCAGCGCAACAGATACCAGCCCAGCCAAGTTAAGTTGCAAGACCCAAGAACCATTCCCGGCCGTAGGGTCTCCTATACCCCAAGCCAACTAGTTAGGGCCCCTAGTTCCATCACTCTCCCCTACTTAGGCACCACTTCTCATCACATCCAGCACATCCTCCAAAAGCATGGAATTCCAGTCTTCCACACATCACCTCTAAAGATGCAGAACCTGCTGACTTCACACAAGGATCGCTGTGACCCAGAATGCAGACCTGGGGTGTACAAGATTCCATGTCAATGTGGCAAAGTGTATATCGGCGAGACTGGCAGGGACCTCCCCACCAGACTCAAGGAACACAAAGCCCATGGCAGGAAGGGAGACTTCGAGAAATCTTCCATCGTCAAACACTCCCACACTGAGGACCACCCGATCAACTGTGCAGTGTCAAGTTTGAGGTTGTTTGGACGAGCGGTTCTCGAAAAAGCTGCAAAAAAGTAATATTTTCTGAGGCAAACGTGCCAGTATTATAGCCTAGCCCACCACGCGCTGCCGTCATTTTCAATATTGTTTACGTCATGTTTAAGCTAAAGCGCGCGTGCTTAATATGACGCAAACAATCTTGAACAGAGTTTTCCACAACGCGACATTGCGGTCTAGTATGATACCCCGTAATTGAGTCTCATATATTGTTTAAGGACACGCTCGGGGATACACGGTTCCAGATTTCGGACCCGAGGGGAAATCTCGGGCCCAATATGCGGCAAAAGTAAAATGTAAAACAGTATTGGACCCCGAGATTGAAAAAAAATTTATATTCAAACACAGTTTTTTGATCACTTGCTGGGTTTGCTCTTACGAAAACGCATGATTCAGAGAGATCACAACCTGATTATTTATACAAACCATTTTTTAAGTTTGGCAAAACTCATCTTCACAGTCAAATTTGTCATGAAAATTATCCTTTCCTCAATGACCACCGAAACGTAGCGTCTGTATTTGAGTTTAAATTTTAAGCTTATACGCATTTCTTTGGTTTTGGGGGTTTATTACATTCACAGATATTCTTATGAACAAACTCATGAAAATTGAAAAGTCCTTAAAAGTCAATTATTATCGATAATTTTAGGTTTTAGATCGTCCCTCTGTCGCAGGTCACCCCTCATGAATTATGCATTTTAATTGACCTGGATGTAAAACTGGCACTTGCGCACAACTTCATGTCGCTTTACACACTGGCCGAAACAGCGGTAGCAGCTGCACTAGTATCATGTACAGCTGGTAGCAAGCGTCAAAGACAGCTTTCACCGTACTTGTTACCGGTCGGTACCTTTTCGTGGGACGTGGATTTGGTTTTTTTGGCAAAATCAACGTATAAGCCGAGGCTTATATTCCGAAAATCACGGTAGGTTATATTTGTTGCTCGTGGTCTAATTAGTAAACATACCGAAATTCGTGGAAAAAGGACATGGGAATATTGGGTTAGGGCACATTTAAGATTGAAAAATTTTGTGCACAAGTCTATGGGGATGTCTCCCATATTAGGCCAAAAAAAAAAGTCTCCGGTTTCTGGTATGGAGCTTGCCCAAAAAGTGGTGCGGCTACGCGGCTTTTTTTTTTTTTTACCCGACTTTTTTGCTTCAAATGTCGGCTGATGACTGCAAATGGTGCCCGACTAAACTTAGTGCAAATATATGGGAGTCCAGAGAGGCCACATAAAGCTTATTCTCGACCATAACCCAATCTAAAAACACGTTAAAATTGTGCAGCAGCAGGATTCCAGTCAAACCAGTGAGTTTAGCGGTTTTGAGACATCATCTTTCATTGAAAAAAAAACTTTTTCATTTTGCCGACGCGCGCGCATACCAGAAACCGGAGACTTTTTTTTTTGGGCCTTACTCTGGATTGGACATTTGGGAGACATCCCCATAGACTTGTGCACAAAATTTTTTAAACTTAAATGTGCCCTAACCCAATATTCCTTTTTCCACGAATTTTGGTATGCTTACTAATTAGACCACGAGCAACAAATATAAGCTAATTGCGACAATCAAATTGTGCCTCTAAAGGGGGGCTGTGACATTAGGGAGACATGAAAATGTCTCCCTAATGACCGATGTCTCCCATCGTGCAAAGAAATTACGACAACGTGTCTCCTTAGTGGTACCTTTACACGTCTAATTATTATTATTGTTATCATTTCTTTATGGATAAGAAAAATAAAAAAATTATGTTCCTTTGTTTAAGTCATTACTCACTTCACGTTGACATCCAAGGCTGGAAGACTTTTTCCAAGGTACACCTTACACACTACCAACTGACCAAATCTGAATGGGCAAGGGTCAGTGCACGTCTCCTTCTTTGCCTTGCCGATGGCTGATTCTATCCTCGCTTTATCACACAAGCTCACACTATTAGACAGATGTACTGCTCCATGGAGACCGAGTTGCTGAATTAACCCAAATAACAAAAAAACAAAACAAAAAACATTCAAATTATTAATGAAAAGTAGCTCAGATAATAATTAATACTAATAATTAAAAATGTATAATGCCCCTTTTGCATATAAATTATCAAAAGCGCATATATTCTCCTTTTATTAACACATGTGCTCCAATAATCATAAACTTTGACTTGTACAGTAAAACTATCCTCTTGAAGCAAAAAAATGAAATTACATAAAATTCATTTTGCATCTATTTTTCAGTATTAATTTATCCCAACGGTGACTGAATTATTGACTAATTTGTTATCTGATTAGCAATTTAAAAATACTGCAAGTAAAACTTGTGCAATCCCCTGGCATGCTGGCAGTATTTATACAGTCAGTTAGTGTACTTAACTGAAATCATCGATGACCTCATTTGACCCTGGATGACCTTTGACCTCAAATGTCTCATGTTACCTGAAGTCACCCTACCCAAAGATTATTGTCACCAAGTTTGGTTGAGATTGAAGTGAGCATGACTTTTCATATGACAGCACTAGATAGTTAAAGGGAAGATACAACATTTGCAAACATCACAAAACGAAACGAGAGATCTACATGTATGTCTGTTTGCAACAGAACATAGGGCTTTTCCGCATTATGCTTTTTTATCAATAAAACGTCCCTAATTATGCATGTACAACGTTTCAATCGAATCGTACCTACAGTTATAAAATTTGCACCTTCAAGACCACATCACAAGACCAGTGATCACTTGCCTCCAGAATACGCTCGAATAACGCATGACGTTACTGGTCAGATTTTGAAAAGCCCACCCTTTCCACAGAATAACATCGTTGAAAACAAGTTCACATCTTTTACCAATTGCAAATAACAAGGCAATTTCAGCTTCAACAGGAAAGAAGGGTCACGCGATTTTGCACGTTATATCAAAAATTAAGACCATGAATTATTCTATCAATTCCCGTAAACAAACAAAATCAGATCTCTCTCTGTTGATTTTAAATTGATTTTACGTGATGACGTAATCATGATGTAACTTGGCAGTGCTCATTATTTTTTGTGGTTTTAGTCTGTACCAAGTTTGAAGCCAGTCACAGGAATTAAAGTGTTACATTTTTTAAGCAGAATAAAACTGAAAATATTTTTAAAATCTTAAAAAATCTACAGATAACGTCATCGTGACGTCATTTCTGATTTGGCGCACTGGTAGTATTATCTAACCACCCACTAAGTTTCATGACGATCGGACGTTCCCTTCATGTGTTTTAAAAAATCGCATAGTTAGTGATGTCAAAATGAAGTCACACAATTTTCACAATTTTGTGAATATACCCGTTACCAAACAAAAATAATACACAAAGAATATTGAATTTGGCATATTGCGTTCGTAAGATATGGCTTAAAGGTCCAAAATGTCCAAAATGGATATAAAATTACATGATGACGTCATGATAGTGTCACCTCAATTTTTACATATAACACATCCCGGCCTACCTACATACCGAGTTTTAACCCTATCGGACTTAATACAGTTCTTTAGATATAGGGTCTTAAAGTTTGCACATTTAAGATGGCGTCAAATGCCCTGTGATGACGTAATCATGGTGTCACTTGGAAGTGCATATTATTTAATTGTAGTTTTAGTCTGTACCAAGTTTGAAGCCGATCATACCAATGAAAGTATTAAATTTTGTAAGCAGAATGAATTTGTCAATATTTAAAAAATCATTCATAAATACCTCAGACAGTTTAGCCATTCCTATTGGTCGAGAGCCCGTCACGTGGCCGGTATTAAACGGATGATAAAGACATGGCTAGCTGGTCTTAAACACTTTTCCAGTGTCACAATAAAATGTGGACTCCTAAAAATCCAGTGGCTCTTATCGTTTCATTGGTTGAACGTTCACAATCCTCGCGTAGGCATGCGCAACACTACCAGGGAGTTAGAATTTTATAGTTCTAAATTCAAAACGAAACGTGCCAGGTGCGTTCTGCGCGACATCGCATAGAACATGATACGCGCGCGTCAATCTCCATAAAAGGGTTGTTTTCATCTTACTCGCCAGCTGAACACTCCATTATTTTGCAGGAGGGATGATTCAAAAAGCATAAAGTGAATTTGTTGAACAAAATCGAGATGTTTTGAACGAATTATATGATTTTTTTTTACCGAAAAGGTATTTATGAATGGGAATAAATATGTACTCCGTCGGTATTTATCACTCTGTTTAATACCACTTAGAGTCTGGGTGCTGATAATTACCCTCGCCTCCGGCTCGGGTAATTATCAGCACCCAGACTCTAAGTGGTATTAAACAGAGTGATAAAAACCTCCGGAGCACACATTTATTCCCTTATTAAAATATACCGATGACGTCATCGTGACGTCATTTCAGATTTTGAGTACTATAGTAGTACTATTATCTACCCGCCCACCAAGTTTCATGACGATCAGACATTCCCTTATATGTGTTTTAAAAAATTGCATTTTTGATGACATCATAATGACGTCACACAATTTTCACTATTTTGACAATATACTTATTACCTAACAAACGTAATACCAAAAGAATTTTTAATTTAACATATTGCATTCGTGAGATATGGCTTAAAGGTCCAAAAATCAAAAAAATCATATAAAATCACACGATGACGTCATTGACATCACCTTAATATTTAATATTTTTTTATTATCATAACGTCACTTTAATTTCCATCTATAACACGTCCCGGTCTACTCCCGGTCTACTCAAAGTTTCAACTCAATCGGATCGACAGTTCTGTAGATATAGGACTTTATTATTATTATTATTTATTCGACCATCACAAAAACAAAACAAAACAAAACAAAAATTGAGTAAAACGTGCATAAAACAACAACCAACAAGTACAGTAAGACGGTAGCGGGGACCTGGGACGAAAATCCGAATATGACAAGACAAATGACAGTTATGTGGGTCAGGGACCGCAAAAGTAAAATGAACTACTATTACCCGTGGGTATGCAGCCCCGCACATAACGTTGAAAAGACAGATTACAAACACAGAAAACAACGGCCCCCGCAGGGGTGATCAAAATGACAGCAAAAAGAAAAGAGCAATGGGTTGACTTAAGTTACCGATAAGAATGCCTGCTTGAGGGCCCTAAGGAATCGAGGAAGGGAGTCGACAACAGCTGAGTCTTTGACATGAGGCGGTAAAGAATTCCATATTCTAGGGAAACTGCGGGTGGGGGAATGAAACAAAGCTTGTGTGCGTGAATGAAGATGGCGGAATGTAAGCAAATCTGGGTGGCGTGGGTTGATTAGGATGTTGTCACTGATGGTGTCATCGTCATCATTCATGTGCATTGTAATATGCACATGAATGATGACGTCACGTGACCCATGGTGATGTCATGATGACGTCACTCTTCGGGACACATCTATGCTATAAGGACTAAGCCTATGCTGACTTTGAATGTATGACAAAGATGAAAGGCAAAAGTGAGGGGTGGAAAAGACATGTACAATGTCTATTGGATTTGCCAGGGAATAAAAAGAAGAAGAAAGAAAAAAATGAGAACAAAAAGAAAGGCTTTTCCGCTACTATGCGGAAAAGCCAACGATCAAATTATCCTTAATACCTTACTGGATTGTTAGGGAATGACAGTCTAAAGCATCCTGTAAAATCATGGCTCCTGCTGTGCTGTCATTTTCAAGAAAAAATTGTATTTTTCTAACACTGGTTGGCCACCCTACTAAAACTTATCATCCATAAACCATTTACCTTAAACTCACCATGGTTTATACCTTGACTTTTGACACCAAAACCAACCTCCACTTGCTTACTCCTACCGAAGTTACAATCCAAAACAACATTTCTAACTCAAGTTATCATCCAGAAACTAAGCTGCCTGAGCTGAACGACGGACGAACAAATGCTGCAGGCGACGACTATACCCCTCCAGCCTCTCGGCTGAGGGCTGAGGGGTAAAAAAATGACAGATCTGGACATTACAGGTAGGCCCGGATTAAGTGTTTTATAGGCCCTAGTTATCACTCCACCCAAGGCATCACCGGCACCAAATTCACGTTGATGCTATTAAAGTACAAAACACTGTAAAAATCAAGCCAGGCCAAACTGGTATAGTCTTACCTCTAAAAGCCTGTCGGCACCAAGGGAGTCAATTGCTTCTGAAACGTCTGGGGGGGTGGGGGTACATACATGTGTATTGAGATCAGAACTAAAGGGAGTGTGAAGCCGAAATGGCCTGGGGTTTGGGGCCCACTTGGTCCTCTCGAGTGGTGTGATCTGAGGCAATTTTTGACCACTTTAACCAATTTTTTTTGGTGAAATATCGTCATGTAAACATCATTTTTGAGTTTGGAGTCATTTAATCAGCTAGTCTGAGCTGTAGAATCAAAGTTAATGTAGTCCGCATTTTTTATTGGGGGACGAAAACAGATGGTACCAGCCCCCCCCCCCCCCCAAATAAAAATGACCTTGCTACGCCCCTGGCTTCAGAATCAAAATGACAGACTTTTATACATAGGGCCTACTATGCCTACATGCTGTATGGCGTCAGTTGGTGAAATAGAAAATTCTGAGAGAGACCCTAAAACTTTACAAAAGGTTTTCTCTGCAGGTGGATGTGTGTGGGTAGGCCTATATACGGCACACTGTGGTATTTTCATTGGCCCCGAATTTTGTGTAGGCCCCAATTTTGTTTTAGGCCCCAGGCACAGTACCTACTGTGCCTATTAGATAATTCAGGCCCGATTACAAGAGCACATTTGTTGAAGTAACCCTCCCTCCCTGGATTGAAATTCAGCTGTGCTATCACATCAGTCAACATCAAACAAAGGTGACTGTTTTTTTTTTTACAGTTAAGAATTCCATTGTTACTTTAATATAGCCAGGATTTGACAGGAGATGGTTGATAACCCAGCTGTACCTCTAAGTTTCCTCTTTTATTTGCTAATGGAATTTGACTAGTCAGAGTGTTTACGCAAATGT